CAACATAAAAGAACTTTTTCTTTACAGTAATCCCACAATGTATTAAATCAAACTCTATTACAAAATATAAATTCAACAAAACAACACCTCTAGTATTTATTTTCACACTATCATGTATACGCACAAAAGCTGAGTATCATCAATTTCGGCATTAAATAACCCATCAGCAATTGATGTACCAAATTAATTAAACAAACAAATAAATTAATCGATCTTCATGGACCAAGGTAAGGAATTCGGTCGAACAGCAGATCATTAATGCCAAGGTGAGATTTGTCATCTTTAATTATGACGGCTTTCGGGAAGATTACCTTTTCCGTGCCCTGTATTTGTTGACTTATGACGAGGCTGTTTTTCGAAACTGAGAACGTCGCCTTCAAGAAAATGATCCCAAATCGGCTATCCCAGATCATTGCTCTTATAATGATATTGGACACCATCTTTTTGCTAACTTATGCCTGGCAAGCTATACACGAAAATTAATTCTACAGAATCAAGTTCAATCATCAGCGATGCTTTACAATGTGGCCTTGTGCCAGATCAAGCTAAGCTTTTAAATAATGACAACATACTAACCGTCATAACGAAAAATCTCTGAAGCCGATTCCAAGTTTAAGGCACAAATAACAGCCTTTCTAAATAACAGAAATAAATTGGGACGCAGAATAAAAAGCAGTTTCACAATGAAACGACCCAATATTGCAAGTAATAACTGCTATACTCAAGAGTAAAACTTTCCGTCTTTTCAAAGAGTGTAGCCTAGGATTCGATAGATATTGCTTTCTTCAGAGCCAATCTAATTTTATTACGACGAATTTGGTGAACAAATCAACTAGAATTGATCTGGAAACTTTCACGACGCTAAGGAAAGTCCCAGTTTGGCTTCTCTGATTTCTATGATAACAAGTTAGATAATCAAGGCAGATAACAAGGTAGATAATGAAGATTTCTCTGATTTCTATGATAACAAAGTCATATGACCCTAAGGAATACTATTAGATTTTGAACAAATCCAAGTTTGATTAATGTTGGTTAGAGAATAATTTTTAATTCTTTGCATTTCTTTAACTGTATAACAGAAAAGCTAGACTAAAGACACCAGGGATTTTTCTTGATTCTAACAAGAAAAGTCCCTAGTGTACAAAAGATATTTTTTTTTAAATATAACAATTGACAAATGTAATCTGGATAAAGAACAAAAAACTGAAAGTCGTTCAGTTTAAAAAGAAATGTTTAAAATAATTATTTACATGTCATAAAGGATATGTATGGTTAAGCTTTTTTACCGAAATTTGTTACGAAAGTATAAAGAAAACAAGATGGCGCTAGAGATGTTGAATAAGAAGACCTAAAAAGAATACTTTATAAAATATCAAGTTTTAGTTAGATCATTCTGAGATTTTTATCGATTACACATTATGATGTCCTGATGCTTTTCTTTTGTATATTTTCATTTTTGCTATGTCGGTGTGGATAGCCTAACTTCTAACAAACCCAATTCAAACTACCCTGGGGTTGTTTGAATTCAGTTCACATTTTCATGGGAAAGAGGTGAATCTTCTTTTCCATTTCCTCCAGTTAAGGGTAAATAAAAAAACTGGAGATAAAATACTCTCACCAACCAAAATTAAAAAAAGGCTCCTTGTTTTGAACATCTATTCGGACTATTGGTTTTATGGTTAACAAGCCTGTCTCACTACATCAATTACGACAGAATAGTGAGTTCGATCCTCACTGGGTGCCCATGCCCATGTATACCCCACTAGAAAAATCGGCTTCTTATTTCGTTCCAATATCTGACTCCTAACGTGCTCTATATTTACAAGAGTCAAGTCAGATCAAAGATAGGGTACTGTTGGAATAAATGGGTTGCAGCTACACAATCCCCTCTTTTAGTTTTGATAGATTTCAGACGTGTCTAATTCAAGGTGAAAAAGTTAATTTTGAAAGCTTTATTAAAAACGCAGTAAACTTTCTCAGTAACAAATGTTAAGAAAACGATGCAATAGCTTATTTTCTTGGTTTTTATGTCATTTTAAAGTCTATAGGGCCAAAGAAACCTACGTTGAGCCATCTATTCAACAACAGTTGAAGGAGAAGATATGACAACCGGAGAGGGAGCTTCAGTAATGTATAAGAGTTTTTTGTTGTTCTTGTATCTAAGATTTATTTTTCATGGTTGAACTTTATGCTAGTTACGTTGTTAATTTACACAAACAAAAACATTAACTTTTATTGTTTACAAACTTTAATTAACGCGAGAAACAAATCTTCTCTGAATTAATTATCAATTATTTTTAGAAGAAAGTTGTTTTTAATCGCAAGGAAAAATATGTATGTTTTTTGGGGTTTTTTTGTCGTAATTCTGGGAATGATTGTGAAGTCTGGGAATGATTGTGAAGTCACTCGAACTAAATGTAGAGAAATCCTAATTTATTAAATTCAAAACATTGCAATGAATATTCATAAAAGAAAGGATTTTTCACAAATCTTTAAGTTCCAATTCGTTTATGTCTATTTTTAGGTAAGAATCAATATGATTCCTTGATACTCCAAGCAAAAGGATTAACGAAAGATCACGTTAAAACATCGCTTCCCGTACGATTACAGATGCCTTGTCAATGGTCAGGACATGGATGGAAGACTGCTTAGTTATCAATCACTCAATCCATCCAAAAATATCAGGTAAATATTGTCTTAGATTCTGAGACGTATTATCTTTTATATGCCTACAGGACTTTGGGGATAATGGGTCTCCACAACTTCCTATCTTTTGTAGCAATTATTAAGTATTATCTTTACACTATCCTTACTACTCCATTTTCTGTCATCCATTTCACAAGCTTTTTGGGTTTAGGGTTAGGGTGATTACTCGCTGTTTCCCCTTGATAGGTGACCACTTGGGAAGCAGCTTGTATGTGTAGGTAATGCAATGGATAATGGCTCGGAATCTTTAATCGGGTCCCGTTGGGGTCCTTATATTCACTTATGCGTAAATACCCTTAAGAAAAGGTATGAATCCACCACTTCTCCCCACAGCTATGGGTTAATTAGTAAGACTTCTATCACTGAATCATTATTATCTCAAAATAAATACATATAATCTTAAAATATTTTTTGTATTTAAATAACCTGCAAAGAATTCATAACCATTAGAAAACGATTTGATCTGTCAATATGTCCTGTGAGGGTTAAATTCTCCAAGCCTTCTTTCCTCATTATGTGACTTAGAAATTTCAACTCTATCTTTCTACTTCTAAGTGTCATTTTTTATTCTAATTTCACAGAGACTTCTTCGTTATCCACATGTTCAGTCCATGATATCCTCAGCGTTTTTCTGTATGATCATAAAAATAAAATCTAATTCTTAAACGATGAATTATTTTGACAGTTATCCTTATTGATGTTATTTGGATCCTTACGCTTCGTTCAGTAGAATTTGTAAATTCATGATTACGTCGCATAGCCAATCACTTTGCGCAATAATGTCTATCTTCCTATTGTCAAGCGACCCAGTTGCCCTGTAGCACGTTTGTTCTGTCCCCAAGCATCCGTCTCATAAGCGTACGCAGTTACAAAAAGCGACAAATAAAAGCCTTAAGACTCTGAAGACGAAGTCCTGCTCATCGGCAGTTTTATTAAAAGCCAAAAGGGTAAAGCTAGCAAAAGAAAATAAATAAACATATAAGACTAACTTAGTCTGAAGACACAAACAAAAGGATAACAAAGAATATGACAAAAGCAACTGGAGGCTTTAACATAGAACTAAGACGATTTATTTAAATGGGGAAAGAAATATCGCGAATTTACAAGAACATACATAAAGTTTCAATGTTGATGTGAGTTAAAAAAAAAAAAACACTGGATACGTGTTTGTTATGGGTGCGTGTTCATTGGCGCATATATCTTTTGTATTATTAATGATTCAAAAAAACAACGAAACTCCAAATGTGAATCAACAAGTATATATTAAAATAACATACAAGAAAAAAATATACAATAATTTGTATTCAATATATAGACTAAGGGAAAAGAAGTTGCTTCCTTTTTACCGTATTTTGATTTGTAATTGATTGTTCAAAAGAAAGTTCTCGTGAGAGAAATGTCCAGGAATCAATATTAGAACAAGTCTGCTGTTAGAAAAGGTAACACAAAAATACAATTGATCAGAAAGTATGTTGTGTTAGAGAAATCAACAGAGTCCTGGTTGATTGAACTTGGCTGAGTCACAGAGAGATATGTATATATGTATTACAAAATTCTGTGTGTGCGTTTGAAATGTTGTGAGTAAAGTCATAGGTTTGTGTTGACAGGCGAAATCTGCTGGACTCTACTGGCGGCTTGTAACAAAGTCGCCTCTTTTAAAGCTACAGGTAGGCTCCCAGCGAAACCGCGGGAAAAGTTGATTTTGCACTAAAATATGTTATTGGTTAAAATTTGACCAACCGCTAAATTTGTACTAACGAAACAAGTAAGCAAGTTCAAAACCGAAAAATTCAAAGTAACGACTGCGATGGCTTTTACTATAATTGATCAAGTCGATAACCGGAAGTGGTCTAAATCTATCTAAGTAAAAAAAAAAAGGCACAAATAAAACGGAAGTAAAACAATACAGTTTCTGTGCTCCTAGTAAGAAAACAACGTTGCATGTCGATTATAATTCTTCTGTTTTAAATATTCTCGAAATGGATGTGAATGTGTGTCTTAAAATGGCTTAAGATTTAGCCCTGCTTTCCATTTTCCATTTTCCAGCTATGGACAACTATACAGGAAGATGAACTCAGATAATCCCTAGATCTTTATTTCGTTGAATTTTTCCTCGTTCTTTTTTTCCTCGTGTCTCTCTTCCCCCACTCTTTCTCTCTATCTCTCTCTCTCTAACCTTCTCTTTCTTCCTCTTTCACTCTCCAACTTTTCTTCCTTTCATTCCCTCTGTTTCTTATCTATCTATCTATCTATCTATCTTATTTTCCTAGAAGATGAACTCAGATAATCCCTAGATCTTTATTTCGTTGGGTTTTTCCTCGTTCTTTTTCCCCGTCTCTCTCTCTCTCTCTCTCTCTCTCTCTCTCACACACCTTCTCTTTCTTCCTCTTTCACTCACCAACACTCTCTGTATTTCTTTCTTTCATTCCCTCTGTTTCTTATCTGTCTATCTATCTTATTTTCTCTTCCAATATACTCGCCCTTTCAGCCTGTTTTTGTTTGTTTTGTTGTTTTTTGGGGGTTTTTTTCTCTCTTGCCTTTTTTCTTTCTCTCTCCAAAAAAAAACAAATTCTCTCTTGTTAATGTCAGTTCTCTCACTTACTTGTCGCCTCTGGCTGATTGGTTTCTGTTTATAAAAGAATGAGAAACTTGCAAACATGTAAACAATCGATGATGGATGATATTTTTTTAAAAAAATGAAAAACCTTCTGCGCAGATAATGTTATTGTTTACATTATTTTCATCTTCGTTGTTTTGATTGTGGAATCCGATCATTTGAAATATAACTTAATCAAGTATAAGATCTTTCAAACGCTGATAAGCGAATTGTACCAATTATCTAAACATGCATTATTCCTAACTCTGTCTATTTATCTAAAAAGTTCGTTGCCAATGTAATAAAACCTATTTTATAATATCTTCAGAAGACGTCATATGAGGGATGTTTTCGGGATGGCAAATTGAAATTTCCTGCTAATAATAATGACATATAAGTATTTTTATCTTCTTTACTTTTTACCTAAGAGTCTTTCAAAACATCGTCTGGCATGAAAGTCTTGGTTTGATAGTTGATTTTGTTTAGCGGCATACAACAGATATATTTAATGCCGAAATTTAAATATTTGAACGTAATTGTATGCATTAAACTACAGATATTTTGTACATAATTTTATACTACAGGTTAAAGGTGTTTACATATATATATATATATATATATATACCGGGTGCAACTGGAAAAATCGTGTTACAGCATAATTGGCCATCTCACAAAATGTTTGATATCTAAAAAAAAACAAAAAACTACAACATTTATCGTAAGAATTACTACAAAAACACACTGAGTTAAACCTGTGAGGCAGCTAGTTACTTCAGGACAGAAAGCTAGAGAGTTAAAGAGGGCGAAGATCATCTTGAATAATTTGGAAAATGATCCTGGAATAATAATAATCATAATAATAAAGCTTATGAAGTATTAAAATTAAGTTTATTATATATATTAAATAATATACTGCAAGGGCGGACTACCATTGTTGTTTCGACCGTGTGTTGTTGAACTTGTCATCTTTGATAATGACTTATGTAAGCTGAAAGCTTAGATTGGATTTAAACATGTATCAATATGGTATTTTCCTTTCATCTTTCAAAGATAATGTGATTAAGCTTATCAGACAATATGAAAGGAACTTACTTAAAATAGACAAAACTTGTCTATATTATTTAACGAAACATGCAAAATGAAAAATTGCTGTCTAAATATACACAATATATATATATATATATATATATACTGTGTATATTTAGATAGCATTTTTTTCATTAATGCATGTTTCGTTAAATAACATGAGGATCGGAAGATTATGAAGTATTAAAATTAAGTTTTATATATATATATATATATATATAAACTTAATTAATTTTATTTTAAGTATTAAAATTAAGTTTATATATATATATATATATATATATATATATATAAACTTAATTTTAATACTTCATAAACTTTCCGATCCTTAGCTATTATTAATTAATGATGAATATGTCATTTTCGTTTATGATTGATTCCATCTTTTTTAAACTTGGAGAGTAATTATCCATTCTTATTCTTCAAAATAGAGTCCGATAGTGTTCTAAAAACCCACTGTTTACTCATAGCTTGGACCTTAACACGTGATACCACACTGGCTCAGAGTGGACCTGGGAACAGAAGCATTCAAGATGCCGTTCTACGCTCCTCAAAACCTTCAATCTCCCGATCCTAGACATTACTGACAGATGTAGTTTATCGTTATACTTTGACGGACATGAAAGTCTGTCTGAAACAAAGGTGAATCATTTTATATGGTAAAGCACTTATATCTGTTGACGTTAATGAACGATTACTGAATGTTTATGGGAGCCAAATACTGGAATATGAGCACAGTTTGACGTTAGGTAATGGGTTTCATCAATGGCGACAATGATGCATTTTACAAGCTATATCTGCACAGGTATTAAAATATGAGATGACGAACTGCTCAAAACTCCAAATAACGTGTGCTACGCAGAAAAAAAAGTGTTTGGTGGCTGATAACTTGCAACCTGTTTCTTTTGTAGTTTCTTTGGCAATATATGAGAGACATTGCTTTTAGAGTGTCTCCCTTACCGTATAAATATATGTGTGCGTGCGTGTGTCGTTAAAATGATTGCCAATACTCAATTTAATCGCCGTGTTTGGGAATTAAGAATACGTTTCAATTTCAGTCACCTTTAGACTTTATAATACAAATCGTTTACAACAATACAATCAATATCCTTGCAAATGACTGACACATTAGATAAAAGCTGACAGAGTAGATGAACGCTGACAGAACAATAATCGTTTGGACAATTTCTACGCACAGTCATTCCCAAAAATAGGAAACTCCTGTTTGCATACAATAAAGATACAACACAAAACTTAAAAAAAAAACTTAAAAGTACAATTCTCAGACATCTATAACTAGACATGTATTAGATATGCATTGTTGCTCGAATGCATATATAGGCATATATATATATATATATATATATATATATATATATATATATATATATATACACACACACACACAAACACACATATATATATATATATATATATATATATATATATATATATATACAGAGGTAAGATGAGTAAAAATTAAGTATTATTACAATGTCCATAATATTTAATTTTTAAAAAGGGCTCAATACAGTCAATTACCATCGCCTGAGGAGACACATTTGTGGCGTTGAAACATGATTGATATTGTGTGGCAATTTTTTTACATGTTTTTGCTTTCATCTCCTATAATAAATAAAAATTATATATATATATACACACACACACACACACATATATATATATATATATATATATATATATATATATATATATCAACGTGAACATTGAAGTCAACACTTAGAGGCGATAGACTGTTTCATGCTAGACGCAATCATCAGGCCACGGGTTCTGTTATTTCTCTCGGCTATTTAAATAAATAGATAGATAAATAGCCGAGAAAACGACAGCACTTATGGCCTGACGATTGCGTCTAGCACGAAACAGTTCGTCACTTCTAAGTGTTGACTTCAATGTTCGCTTTTATATTTACACACGCTCTATTTCTGATATTGAGCACTTTACCCCATAAAACCAAAACAGTCATTGCCCTTTCTTAGTTCGTGTAGGGAAGAAGTGATCCCTGATACGCAACTGAGTGTGTGACGGAGGCATGAATTTTGAGCAATTCAGGTGCGCACACATATCAGTGATGTGTGTACGCATCGCACATGTATTGCTTAGCGGCGAGGAAACATGGCAGTGTCGAGGAAGAACGTACGAGGTTGACTGATTTATGACTGTAAGGGGAGCTTGTCTGCAGCCGCATCAATTCGCCGAATACGCCAAGCCCTTGGAGATAATGATGTGAGTGAACACAAAATCAATCATGTGTTCGAGAAGTACAGGTTTGGAGATCTGTCCCTTTTGCGATGAACTCCCCAGTGTTTGTCCACTGGGCCTGCATGATGTTTATCTTGAAGAAGGCTATATAGAAATACAATAGCCAAACCCATGGAGACCTTGCAAAATGCTTCCAAGTTTCTGTAGAAACAATCAGCCTTCACCTGCATCGCATAGAAACGTTTATCATGTGGGTACCACACACAAGCAACAACTAGTGGTAGCTTGTTTCTCATTGCTTTTTCGGCAATGCAACGTACCCATATTTGCTTCGCAGAGACGAAACGTGGATCCTGAATGGCAGACATTTGTTTTCACCATGGGAATCTGTGCTTCACACTACAAGTCGATATCTATGAACATACACTGTATCTGGTGGACTAGTCAACAAGTGGGGCATTGAGCTATTCCCAACGGTCAAAACCATCACGGCGGACATGTACTTGCAGCATTTGACGATGCGTCTTCATGTGGTCCGCGTGTCCAGGTATACCATCCTGCGACAAGATTGGGAGACACTTGGGGACCCCCTTTAAAAATTGTAAAAAAAAAATCAATAGATTTAAGTAATATTATTAAAAATCTCAATTCTCTGCGGAAATATGATCACGCAGATTTCGACTCATTCCTATGTAAAATAGGTTCACACGAACTCCAAATTCAAATTTTCATATTAGCATTTATTAACTAATCAAAGACGTTAACTCAAATGCCATTACAGCCTTTCAAAAAGCAGACGATTTTCTTATCATCTGCTAATAAATTTGAGAGATCAATCAAGAAAATAATTAACAATATTTCCCCTCCTAAAAGTAGATATTAAAATGTTGGGAAATATATTTATTAAGCAATAAACGTCTTACTTTACTAAATTTAACTTTTAGGTCTCTGTGATCCCATTTTTTCTCATAAATACCGTAAGTAAATTAATTTCTAGTTTTCAGTTTTTTGTTAGACCATTGATTAAGAATGTAGACGATACTGATTACTCACCTTTAGTATAATTATTTAGATAGATAAATCTATTCTTGCAATATCTTCTTGCTTTTACAGTAAATTATACAACACAAAAAACACGAAAGAGAAAATATGCAAACAAAGTGAATCGTAGCAGTGCAACAAAATGCACAAACCGCGCTCATTCAGTCGATTGCTGCTGTGATAAACATTAACACTCATACATAAAGCAACGTAAATACATGATTCTCGTTTGTTCTTAATCCAGTCTACTGGTCATGTTTCCAGTGTGAAACTGCGAATCCCTTAAAGATTTTTAAATGGTCTATGAATCCCTTCAAGATCTATGGATCCTTTAAATATCTATCAATGATCTATGAATCCCTTAAAGGTTTTAAATGACCTATAAATCGATAAGATCTATGAATCTCTTAAAGATCTCTAAAGGATTTATGAATCCCTTCAAGATATGTGAAACCTTTAAAAATGTATGAATCTATTCTATATCTTGAAATGATCTATAAATTCTTTTAAGATCTATAAATCCCCTAAAGATCTATGAATCCTTTAAAGGTCTTTTAATGATCTACGAATCTTTTCATAATCTACGAATGCCTTCAACATCTATGAATCCCTTAATGATCTTTAAATGATCTATGAATCCCATAAAGGTCTATGAATCACTTAAGGGTATTTAAATGGTTAATAGATCTC